CGAGATAGCGCGTTCGTTCTCTACAGCAGACACCTGCGGTCCGGAGTATAGCAAATATCTCAGCATCAATGTGGTTGTATTTCGCATCATACCTTGCCGTGAAAATTCTAGAAGCAGAAAATAAAAAGTAAACAAAAGGAAGAAATATTTTCTTAATATCTTTACCTCATTCTCTCTAGTGTTGTCGGATTTCGCTTGTCTACTGCGGTGATTTGCTCCTTTGTCTGTTACTACTTCCTCTCACCAAACGATCAGTCGTCTCTTTGCGTTTTACTTTCGATGTATCTTTTATCGAATCATACCTTTATCTGCATACCTTGATTATCGAATGAGTATTTTTTTTGCTGTGCGCACTACGATGACGATCTTCATTTTGTGTGTTCCCGGAAATCATCCAAACGAGAGGCGCTTATGGCGTCGTGGTTAAAGGTGCTCTGGTGATTGAAATCTTATCCCACGAAATCCTAGAGCATTTGGAAAACTGTTAGGTCAGAAAAGTCAAAGCAGTCAAAGTGTTTGGTTCTGTTAGTTGGAAAGTGGATTTTATAAGAGGTCAAAGAGTAGCCTATCAAGATTTTTCTTCTGCACTATTCCTCCTTTACCATTTTCCAGGTTCGTTAAGCGCGTTAGGTACACATGGGATGTGATTTATGCATTCAAAAAACTACCCAATGCGGCTTGCTTCCCAAGGCGGTTTCTCGTGAACTAGTTTTCGAAATGATGCAAAGTACTTTCTTTAACAGCTTCTTTGAGCTCCATCAAAATCTGCTAAACATTAAATGTGGTCATCGAAGAAAAACTATCTTTTTGGTTAAACGATCAATTGATGAGGATTTTTCATTCATACGTTCCTTTCATTTCGTTCGAACGATTAAGCGGTCCGTTCCGTTGCAGCGTAGTGGAGAGCAGCTACGTCGAAGTGGCATCTTCACGTCGGCCTGATTTTATGGTAATAGAGGAAGAACAATATTCTCAGAAAGCATTACTGGTCATAGTCGGGCAGCACTTTATGCTGCAGGAGCTCGTCAGTTGCAAGACATAAAGGCTGATATTACTTTCATCGGACTTCCGATTTCAAAAGCGGTTTCGATATGTTCTATGCAGCACAATCCCTTTCTGAACCATAGTCAATGAAATAGGCCATGAGACAATCTTCGTGGTCTGCCGTAAAACATTTTCAAGCTGGAGACCTAACAATATTTATGATGATTCCTTCAATCTTCTCAGAAAGTATGGCTACCATAGAGGCTAGCCACAGATCTGGCTGCCTACATGTGCTACGACAAGTACATGCAACTCGTGGCATTCAGATAGAAAGAAAAGTTGTAGTCCCAAAGCGGCTCATTGCTGCTTGCAACGCATTGTGTAGAAGGGAATCATTAGTGGTGGTTTCTTTTAAATAAAGCCTTTAACTCTGGTAACAGTTATGATCTGAGATATTTGCAAAACTCTGGACCGCAGGTGTCTGCGGTGGGAAAAGAACGCGCTATCATACTTTCCGGAGCTAACGCGTTCACCACCACACCATGTGGAATCCTTCGCTTCGCCTGTCTCTCAGCTAGTTCTATCGATCACTACCATATCGACGGGTGATTGCTGATGGCAGTGATCGATAGAACTAGTTGAGAGACAGGCGAAACGAAGGATTCGCATGGTGTGGTGGTGAACGCGTTACTCCCCGGAAAAGACAGTAGCGCGTTCTTTCCCCACCGTAGACACCTGCAGTCCGGAGTTTTGCAAGTAACTCAGCAATGTAAAAGTTATATTTCGCAACATTCCCCGCCATTAAAAAAAGTATGCAGTAAATAAAAAGGTTAAGATTCTGGTAACAATGTTATAGAAAAAAGAGCGCGTGTGGCGAATTGGTCGGAGGCGCCCTGCAATACACACGTAAATTCGATTCCCGCGCCTATGGCCCCCAAGCCTTCCATCCTTCCGAGGTCGGCAAATTGGTACCAGACTTGTCTGGGAGGATAGCAGCACTGGATCGATACATCGGTAGGCTACCACGAGTCATTGTAAAGACCAGTTATGCATTCAATCACCTCCATATTATGCTTAATGAACTTGAACTCCGAACGAAGCTTAATGAAGTCGATTACAACGCGTACCCTCAGGCATTGATCAACGAGGAGAGCTTTGTCTTTTATCCTTATCCTTCATATAAGAATATTATGGGATATAATTAAGTAGAAGTTATTTCTTCCTTGTACAGAATTCTTCGTATAAGCAAATGGTTTTTTTTAAACTATGATTCATTCCATTTCATGGCAACTCGCGTCGTAAAATTCTTGAACGAAGAATTTCTTTTTTACCAGTAATAAATAAGCCATTCAAATAGTTGTCTTCTAAGGTTTCATTGGTGAGAAGACTCATTTATTGCATTCAAATCTTCGTCATTCCTTGCTGAAAATGGAAAGTAGGACTTGCTGATAAAGATAACGATAGGTCATATAGAAAAGGATGAAGCTCTCGACGTAGATCAATCACTGGGACGATCCAGGAACGCGTGATGCAATCCACTTCACAAAATATCGTTAGAGTTGAGCGAATGCATATCTGGTCTGTACAATGATTTTTGGTAGCCTAATGATGTATCAAGTCAGCGCAACTGACCTCCCAGACAGGTCTGGCACGAATTTGCCGACCTCGGAGGGTTGGAGGGCTTGGTTAGCCAGCAGCGCGGAATTGAACCTGTGTGTAGTGTGGAGCATCTCTAATCACTGCGCTACACTCACTACTTTCAAAGCTGATACATCAACTACAGCTCATTATTGTGATGAATTCCTGAGACTTAAGGAATGACGTTATCTTTCTCAGCAGAGGCGATGTGATAGGAAAATGAATGTCTGGAGTTAAAAATTTTCCCAAGGTTTGACGCCCCCGGTAGTTTCTAGATTCCTTCCCCATCTCTTTTTCACAACATATCACAACTCTTAGAATTTTTAATGATTTCTGTGAAAATTTTAATGGTTTGACCTTTGCTAGTTTTCTTAGGGTTAGGCTTAATGCAGAGCCATGTTGCTACAATGGCTAGGAAGGATTGGGGTTGAGGCTTCCCTATCTATAACGAAAGCTCACAGAGTTTGGTTCGTCCATCTTAAAAACCTTGAGTTTAGTTCTAATCTAACGTCCACAAGATCGGCCGAACGCCTTCACGTTTAATGTTTAAAAAATATTTTTTTCGTGTTCGTTGTTTTTCTCTTTACACAAGTGTTTCCTTGACAATTAACCATTACGTGCCACTCAATTCGCTTGGTCAGACTTATAGTATAGAAGTGTGGGCCTTTGTTTCCCATAAAAGTTCCCAGGTATTGAAATTTGACGTTGAAGTTTCCACAAGACAAATTCTTCGGCCCTTGACGCCATCTGGACAGCATGGAATATTTTTAAAAATCCTGAAATGTAGATTCTACAGCTAATCGAAAGAATTCCGAAAAGAAAGCAGTAACAAAATGTTGTCGGCGCATTCCTCAGGGATTGATCAACGCGAAGAGCTTTATCCTTTTATCCTTTAACAGTGTTGTGGGACAGAGAAAATATGGTAGAACTTTCTCGCTATCAATTAACACTATGATGCTTAGATGCTAGGAAAGCTGCGACTGTTTCGAAGAGCAGATAAAGAATTATTGTTTTATGAAGATCGCAATAGCTTCGAAGTGTTTTTCGTCTTGTCGGCTTTCTCTTCCGTGTAGTTAAAATCTTCCGGGATGCCTTTTTGTAGCAGAGATTTATGATATTAGATATTAGATGCGTTTGATTCAGCGCCTGCTGTAGCTTCATTGTCAGCCAAAAATGATAATAAGATCTAAAGTTATGGTTGGAGAATTTGGATTGTTCTGCCATTTTTCGGGACGACGTTCTTTTCCAGTTTATGAATAGAAAGAATTTTCGAACGATATAAAAGAATCTGTATGCTTGTTGTCTGTGAGTACGTGGTTAATCTCCGAGTATATCACATTGTGAGAGGATCTTCATTTCTAACAGCGTTCTCTTTTTTGACGGAAAGTGAGCTTTTGTGGAGGAAACGGCGGAGTTGAATCCAAGGAAACCGTTTCTTTTTTTCTCTTTCTTTTTTAAAAATTTTCTAACCCTATGTTCGCTTTACAATACTAAGCCTACTCTGGTGATTAGTTCTCAAAGTGTGAAGCTCATATAGCGCAGCAAAGTCATCCTCAACAGCTAGACAAGGTGGCGAGTTACTGTTCCCAATCCTGAATTTTTTTCGCAGAAGTGTGAGTTGGAGATCCTCAGTTGTCGATGTGCTAGGTTTTTATATTACTCTACTTTATGCGTAGCAAATGCATATGCTATAAATCTCACGAAACCATTGCTCCACAATCGTGTCTTCTTTTCGAGATAAGAGTTCACCCATTTAATTGACTCATGGCGACCTTCCTACTCTTGCTCTTTCAAAGGACAGCTACCAGAATCTTAAGGGGATACTTAAAAATCAGTGCCAGAGAAAATTGTTCAGCTAACGCTTATTTTATTTTGTTTGTTTGTTTTGGCTCTGGTTTGATGGCAATGCTACTTAAACTAGATTTCCACAAAATTTGGTCGCCTCTTGTAGACTGTCATGCTTAAATGGTAATGTTTTAAGACATTCTCCACCACTATGTATCGCATTCTTGTGAAGTGAAGAGAAGCTTTTCACCTAACGACGGGGTTTCATTTGGCTTTTTGCAGTGCTAAGTGGTTGTCGGAAAGTTTGACACTTTTTATGCATGGATGGTGACAAAACGAGAGCAAGTGCACCATCCGTCACAGTGGCTGAATAAGCATCAGCATCCCAAACAGTGTAAGCAATCTTCTTAGTGACCATGACTGAGCATACTGGTAACTTCTGGCAACTGAACGGCAGTGTTTACTGGTGCATGCTTAAGTCACCCAGTGATTAGTAATAGTACAGAGAACACCAGTGAAGGGATCAAAATTTTCCTTTCATATGCCTTAATTAAAGCTTGACGGTAATACAGATATGGTGGAAAATTTTTTAGCGTTTATTTTCAGTAGGAGCAGTAGCTCCAAATGCAGTACCACTATTTTTCACCTCGCACGCGCCCTGCCCGGATGGACCACCATTACCCATAACGTGCGATCCGAAGCACCCATGGCCTACATGTCCTCCTCAGTCCTACTGTTACGCCACCAACTCTGTTGACTTCGGTCCATACTACTGCTGTCCTGTTTGTAAGCTTTTTCCATATTAATTTACCGAAAAAATCTCTCTTGTGATCAGGGTGAACAATATCAGACTTACCCGAAATAATCAAGATGGCTTGAGTTTGAGCTTTCAAATCCTAAGATAGATATAAAACCTGAGATCCTCATGTGAACACATTGAAAGATGTCAGCGTCAGGGCCGTCTTGGAGGACAACTGCCCACTTCTATAGCTCAGTGCAACCGATGCCGTACAGCTTGCCCAACGTAATAACGGAGACCGCCCACTGGCCAGCTTCCGCCGGTACCCCTCCATTGAAATCTAGAAAGGTCTCTTTGAAAATTCAGTATTGTGAGTGTTCCATGAGAAATTGCTTCAACATTCAGCCTGTTTCGAGCGAAGAAAACAAGGAAATGAAGAAAACGATCAAATTCCTCATCGATCGGTGGATGGAAAAGCAGAACTTAGTGAGAATATGAGAATTTCAGGAACTTATTTTCATGGTCACTTTGCAAAAGTTTTTGAAATTTTGATTTAGTATTTAGGACATCTGATCCACAACGCCTTCACAAGAGAAATGAAGACCGTTTCCTAAGTATATAAGCTATACTCAACGGAAAACACTAGCATTTTTAGGGCTTAATTAAGCCTGATTTTTAAAGTGTGTTTTCAAAGTTCTGCTTTGTATTCCTACGTATCCACTTTTCCATCCGATTGCTACCTTCTTACTGGTGATGTTATGAAATAAATAAATATATGTATTCTTGGTGAAGTTCATCGATCGATGTAAACAATGGCTGTATACTTACTGTCTACAACCAAATTTGTTTAGAACCTCGCTGAATAATTAGACACGTAGGTTCTTAATATTAGTGAAAGCATAATGGCGGATTTTAAATAGACTTATTTTTCAAGATCGACTTTCTCTTAACCTCAGCATTGGAATATGAATGTGTCGTTTTCTTGTTCAGCAATCGCGAGGTTTTGAAACAGCATACATTTACTTCCATAAAAACACAATACAATACAACGCTAGCTGACGATTCGGCAGTATCGCCTTCTTCAGAGCCTGGAAGGGTATACTGATATACAACCTACTAGGCCAAACGCTTCAATAACACTTACACAAAGACGAAAGACTCTCTGGTAACTACACGATCAACAACTCGAAAAACCGCTACGGTTTAAGGTTCCGTGAAATGCACAGCCGGCCGTTGGTTACATTTTGCGTCGTGGGCTAACGAAGCCTCTCAAGAAGAGATCTCCAAGATCGGCGAACAGGTACCAGACTTCTGTGGAAAGATGATAAACACGGTACATAGGTAGGCTCCACGCATGTGAGTGTGCATACCGTTTGCATTCAGCCACCTACGAGGTGCTCAACAGAGTCCACAGCATGCCATATCACTGAACGGCCAATGGCGAATACTTTATCGTCAATCTTAGTTTCAAGGAAGTCACATTACGTTGAGTTGGCTAGTTTTCCGAATCAGTGCAAAGCTTCCACAAAACAATGAAGGTTCCTAATTTTTGAAACGAAGTGAACGCAAAGCATATGTAACATTAGGAAATGATGGTACATCTTGTAACAGTTCCCAAGATCGACTTTCTTTTAGCTTCTTCATTGGAATATGAATGCGTCGTTTTCTTGTTCAGCAATCGCAAAGTTGTTAGACAGCATACATTTATTTCCATAGAGAAACACAATACAATACAGCGCTAGCTGACGTTTCGGCAGTATCGCCTTCTTCAGAGCCTAGAAGGGTATACTGATATGCAATCTACTAGGCCATACGCTTCAATAACACTTACAAAAAAACGAAAAACTTTTTCGTAATTACATGATCAACAAGTTCTCGAAAAAACCCACCGCTTTTCGTGACTTCCAATGAGGATGTTTAGAACAGCTGATTATAGTCGCATGTGGTTGACCACTGCACCATCCCACATCAGAAATTGATGCGAACATACGGGGTTAGGTCGCGTATGAACTCTGGGTATTCATCCCTGCTATTTATTGTAGGGTTTTTGGCATTTATCCAAAAAGCCTCAAAAAGTTTTCGCGTTGGTGTTTTAGTCTACTGTGCAAGGATATTGACTTTCACTTCAAAATCGTCTCCGCTATGCTTTTGTATCCTATGCGTGCCTAGTGGGGTGCTTCGTCTTAGTTTTCGTTTGCCATCTAGGTGTTCTTTTATACGGATACACAAAGGTCTGCCCGTTTCGCCAATATATTCATCTCCGCAATTGTTACACGAGATCAGGTATATCGTACCTGAACTCATGCAATCATCGTCCCTGCCGTAAGGGCAAATTACGCAATTACGCAATCAGGCTTATTTTCACCTGTGTTGTGACGTCGTTTTTGGGCTACCAAGAGCAAGACCTAAGGGTTTATTCTAAGCGCTTCGATGAGTGCAACAAAACTGAGATCTATCTAAATAAAGATTTCTTCTCGCCTTTGACAAAAACACTCTGCGCCAGGAACTCAAGTGCACGCAACTTAGAGAATGCCTTTGGTTTTCGTTGTGCCATCCTGCCCACGAAGACCAGAAACTTCAGAAAAAAGCCGGTGGAAACAGTAACGATGTCGGTGTTCTGGAACGTAGGGTCCAGTCACAATGCAGTGCATACACAGGGCCTTTGAGCTGTCTCTTTAGGCCACTGTCTTTGTCAGCGCAGGGGACAGACATAGAACCTAACAGAAAATTGGATACTATTCCACCAGCGATAGGTATATCGTAGACTCAGATCCCGCTTGCATCGACGAAAAAATTAAAGTGTTATCAAGTTTGGCAAGAAACTACGCTTCCAATCTACTATAGCTCTACCATACGTACAGCGCTATGCTGCTACAAAGGCATCAAACCGTAGCGAACAATCCAGTTCGCCACCTCTTGGATACTTGAATACTTGGATGGTTCGTCCTCACTTGTTGTGCGGGCCCCAGCAACACCTACGTCGTTCGGAGTTTTACTGGCTTAGCTAATGTGATTCCCTGGAGACCCGAGGTCAGCCTGGCTAAACTCTGCCCCAGGTCATTTACCACCAGAAGCAGTCGTCGCCTTTGTGGATCAGAAGATTTGCTACCATGCGACTACTTTGATACCAGTACAGTGGTGGATCCTGGTAATGGTGCTGGTTTACTTTAACTTAGGTTTCCTGGTGGAAACGTTGGACTCCCTCTCAGCTTGGGAGACCCTGCCGGGGGAATGAATCCCCCGCTGTACATCGAAGCCCTACACCTAGGAACACCTCCCAGCTACGATGAGGCGGTAAACAGTTGGGGAGGGTCTGCCACCTCTGTCAGATTCAAATTCCATTTCTGTTTCTCAGTTCTTTACCGTTTTCACTACCATTCAACTGTTTTATTTATCAAGTGCTTCTGTAGTTGAAGTAGTTCGTTACAAAAGAAGTTAAAATACACCCTATTGTTCAAGTTAATATATCGCAACGATGCCTTTCAACACATTCGATCTGTAAAAAGTGTTCACCCGGCTATCCCTTAGCCATTTACGTTTGGCTTTTTGATCAAATGGTCATTCAAACTCAGATGAAGCAAAAGGAGCAAGAAGCTCTGTCGATGAAAACAAAAAAATTGAAGCTGCGAGATCAATTCCTAGACAGGAATGGAACATTTCCGTGGACGGCCAACGTTCAGAATCTCAACAGTTTCATTCATACATACAACGAATGAACAATGGAAATCTCATAAAAAAATTATGCACAGTATATATTACAAATGAAAACATTCACCGGTACGTAGAACTCATAGAAATGTAGCAATTTTCACAAGAATTCACTACAAAGAGTACTGCATTGAATTATCGGAAAAATGAAACAGCATGATATAAGAGAAGAATGAATTGAAGGAAATAATGAAAACAGTGAAAGTAAACAAGACATTTCCCCAACAATAAACGGCTTCTTTTGCACGACTGAAGATCGATCATCTCATAATCACTTCGTTAAAAAATTCATCTTGATATGAATGGCCAAAGAATGCCATATTTCAGCGCTAACAATGTCCGAGTAGCAAATCTTAAGACCGACCTTCTATTAACCTCGAAATTGACCGAACAATTCACTGTCCTCTTGATGAGCACTCTAATGTTTAGGTGAGTAGATTGCGTGTCAATTTTACTTCTCTAGGCTCTAGAGAAGGCGAAACCGCCGAGACAGCAGCTATTCTGAGTTAAGTGCTGTAATACCACAATCATGGTTGCTCATTAAGAAGACAGCGAGTGTCGGAATAAATAGTGAATTTACAGTTACAATGTATCACATCCTTGTATTACGAAGTTACCAGATAAACTGACGTTAACCTGAGTTTCCTCAGATAATTAATGCTCGGCGATGCTACCAGATGACGCACTTGTGCTCCGGATTCAGCGCCGATCCGACTGGGCACGAAAAGGCGTTGGCGAACTCGCGAAGGTTAGACAAAACTCCCGTGACGCGGAACACCTCTGGAGAGTGCTCGTCGGTGGTGACCTGCTGCATCGCTGCTGCTTCTTTCTTTTGCCCACACCAGAACTAAAACGAATAAAGCAAAAATAACCTCTGTGAAGATGAAAAGTCGTCTGCCTAGTCCGAGCTTCACTGTGTTCTGCTTCATCGAGCCTACTTCTTATCTCCTTGGATAGATTACAGTTGTACATTACTTACAAAAGTTGTGGATCATTCCACAGAGTATCCTCATTCTTTGTGTCTAAAGCGATTGCTTAGTTTATTAAGCTCGTCCCACACTTATTTCACAGCACATTCCTTCTTCTTCACCAACGATGTCTGCTTTTCCATGGCGGCCACACATAACGATGTTGTGGTATTTGGGATGGTATGCCCCTACTAAATGGTAGGCAGCTTTAACGAATGCGTGAAGGTATATTTTGGCCAGAACGCATTCATCACAACGCATTTTCTCTCCGAACGTTAGCTTATTGCACAAACTTCACGATTCATTCTTATGTTTACAGAGAGCAGAGCATATAGAGTCCTTCTGCTCGAGCAAGTGTTAAAATGCTTCTGCTTTGTGTGAGTGCTTTGGATTGTATGCATTGAGTTAACAACACTTTTAAAAAAACCCCTAATTCATCGCTGCTCACTGTGATACCTCCTCCTACTAAACGATATCTACTGGTTCTATATCTGAATACTAAGAAGAAAATCGTCATCGGACGTTTCTCATTCTCAGTACATCCTGCCAGAAGATAACGCTAGTAATCACTAGGCCGTAACAGAGATGAGCCGTTAAGCGTGACCCTCCGAATGTAATACGAGTAATTTTTCGTCGGCTACGGACTTTCTGGTCTTTATAGTGAAAAATAATTTTCCAGTTACCAGAGTACGTCAAAGGTTATGGGTATAATAGAATTGTAGAAAAAACCTTGCTCTACCGTTCCGTTGGTGTGAATCACCAGTATGCCACCTAGTTATTGTGTCTTACTAGGCTTCATTGTGCAAATAGATTGCTGTCAGCAATTGGAAGTGTTTTGCACTCTTTGTCGAATCCATTTCCATGTTTTTTTAAACCTCATATTCAATTAAATGAGCATAATGATTAAACCAAATTTCCAATTGTTAGTCAATCAGCTTTTTGAAAAGAAGTTTCTTGTAAATCATCAAGTGTAGAAAATGGTTCTTCTGGTCTCACTCCGACTGTTTCAGTCCGTTTTCGATTAGCTACCCAGTCAATCAAAACGGCGAGTGTGGTGCAGTGGTCGGAGGCGCCTTGTACCACACACATGAGATCGATTCCCGCGCCAGTGGCTCACCAAACTTTACATCCCTCCTGGGTCGGCAAATTGGTACCAGACCTGTCTGGGAGGATAGCAGCACTGGCTCAATACATCAGCAGGCCACCGCGGGTCATTGTAATGGCCAGATATGCATTCAATCACCTCTTAAAGACGATTAATGAAGTCGAATGCATGGCGTATCCCTACGGGATTGATCAACGCCGAGGGCTTCATCCTTTCGTGAGCTTTTCAGCCAGTCAATATAAATAGTGCGGCAAAAGAATTTTGGAACGCACTAGACTCAAAGCGGTCACTATAACGTCCATACTGTTCCCTGGTCCAAACGCGTAGAAACATTGTAGTGTCCATACCGTGAGCTGTGGGTTAAGATCATGTGAAGCTATTTGAAATGAAATGAACTGTGAAAATATAGAAAAAGTAATCATTGAAACAAGAAACTCACATGAGCATAACTAAGAAAGAAGATTTGCGTGTTTGTGAATTGCTGAAGTCCAGGAAGTCGTGCTTCTTCTCCGTGGTTCGCTACGTACTTCCGGTAGGCCTAAATAAAGCACAGAGTTATGCACATTTGCCTGTAGAAAAGTAGCACATAACCGCCAGCTATAATACTACTGCTTACCCTAAGGGCTTCTTTTACACCACCATTGTCGGCGATATTCTCCCCTTGTGTGAGCTTCCCGTTCACCTTCAAATAAAGCCGTTATGTCGGGGAAAACACCTTAACTGGTCGACAAACCTTGTATGTGGTTTTAGGCACAACATAGTTCCCATATTGCTCGACAATACAGCGTCTACGTTTATCAAATGCCTCCAATGATTGGCTGCTCCACCAATTGTGCAAATTTCCGTCTTTATCATATTGAGATCCTTAACATTAAACAGTTATTTTGTCAGATGGAAACACCTTCTTGAAGAAAAAGATGATTCTCAGTGAAAGTATAAGGTTTCAGTTGAACTAAAAGAAATATAGCATTAGTCTTTTTTTTCACTGCTATCAGCCATCAGCATCCTGCATAAAAGGGCATAAACGAGTGAGTATGCCTCATTCGAGAGATGGTCCGCTGAGGAAAACACAACTCGATGCGAAGCCGAAGATGCCACATCGAGACGAAGAAGAACCGTGGACTATCGACTCGGATCGTCGCCTCTGATGAAGACGAAGACGTCGAAACGTTATCCAAATAAAAATGGTTTATCAACCCAGTGTAAGCTTATCAAAGAAAAAATACATGTAGCCACTTATTGAAAGGTTACAGGCCTCAGTGCGTTTTATTGAGAGTACCGGATTTGGGAACTTTATAATTTATCTCAACCCTTTTATTTACTGCCTTTTTCTTTTTAATGGCAGGGTATGTTGTGAAATATAACTCGTATATAATGCTGAAATATTTGCAAAACTCCGGACCGCAGGTGCATGCGGTGGGGAACAAACGCGCGCTATTGTCCTTTCCAGGGAGTAGCGCACTTCACCACCACACCACCCGGGTCTTTCGTTTTGCCCGTCTTTCAGCTAGTTCTATTGATCTTTTGTCGTCAGCAATCACCCGTCAACGGGATTGATCTGGGGGGCCCAAATCGGCATTGAACCCAGTTAAGCTGAGGCTTAGTTATAATCACAATCTTAACCCTTTTATTTACTGCCTTTTTCTTTTTAATGGCAGGGCAAAAGATCAAAAATCACAAAGCCCAGAGGACAGTCACCGAGTGTTGGACGTCGAATTGCGAATACTACGCACCTGTCTACGAAGCCGACAAAACTAGATGTTCGCCAAGTGGAAGAAGTGCGAGACGAAGGAAAACTTTTGCGCTTAATATTTGGAGGACCGCCTCTGGAGGAGAATAGTGGGCAGGTCAGTGTTGATTTGCAACTCTATTAGGTCTAATGCTAAAGTAGCTTTGCGAAAAAAATTCGAAGACCTTTTGAGTAAATCACATAACACAGCTTCAATAGCGCACAAAAATATCGCTAAAGAACATCAAACAGATCACATTAGAATAGGTAATGTGCAAGAAAATTCAAGGCTAACCGTGTAAGGAGGCATAACTCTCCTTGACGGTGCGCGCTCGTTATTAGAATTGGGGTCGAGTTTCTCACCATCCGAACCCATTTCTAAGATAACCTTGCGTAGGGTCGCATGTGGTTTACATGAACTTTAAGATAGACTCTGCAAAAAAGCTAGAGATGAAGCGCTAAAT